CGGTGCGCACGGGGCGCCGGGGGCCTGGAACTGTAAATCCCAAAGGATTTGCTCTTGAGTTTGCCCTTCTCGTTCCCCACGCGCAGAGCCAGATGTCGGGATGCCGGAGCCGGAGGCGCAGCGGTTCTTCCAGCAGCTGATCGCCGGCGTGGTGAGGGATGGCCGGGATCGCTGGTGGTGGGGATGCCGGTGGGGATTCCCGCCCGGCACTGACCCTTCCCGGGATTCCCGCCCGGCACTGACCCTTCCCGGGATTCCCGCCCGGCACTGAGCTCCCCTCCATCCCCAGGTGTACCTGCACAGCATCGGCATCACCCACCGCGACCTGAAGCCGGAGAACCTGCTGCTGGATGACCGAGGTGTGGGACACACACACACACAGCCCTTTCTGACACCCCTTGAGTTTTCATCTTTTAATTTTTTAATTTATTTTTATTGGAATGTTTCATTTCAATTAAACGTTTTAATTTTTTTAATTTGAACGCTTAATTTTTTCCGTTTGAATTTTTAATTTAGGGCTTCAACTTTAGTATTAATTTAAATTTTATCACGACTTTTTAATTTGACTTTTTTAATATTTTTAATGCTTTAATATATTAATATTTAAGTTTGTTTCCTAATTTAAACTCTTAATATGAATTTGTACTTTAATCTGGATTTTTGATTTATATTTTATTTGCATTTTAATTTAAATTTTAAGTTGAACTTTTAAATCCTAATTTGAATATTTAGTTTGAATTCGTGTTCTAATCTGAGCTTTTAGTTTAAATTTTTATTTGAATTTAAATTTGAATTTTCAGTTTGATTTTTTGATATAAACTTTTATTTTTAATTCAAGTTTTAAATCAGAATTTTTAATCTGAATGTCTAATTAATTTTTTTCATTTTTAGCTGCATTTTTAATTTTAATTCAAGTCCTTCATTTCAACTTTTAATTTCAATTTTTCATTTTTAACCAGCGTTTAATTTGAATTTCTAATTAATTTTATTGGAGCTTTTAATTTAAACGTTTAATTTAATTTATGATTATAACTTTTATTTACGTTTTCTACTAATTTAGAGTTCAATTTGCGTTTTTGAATCAATTTAAGTTTCGGGGTTTCAATTTGAATTTTTGATTTGAATTTTCGAGTTTAAATTTTTGGATTTTGAATTTACATTTTTTTAATTTGGGCTTCAGACAACCTGAAGATCTCGGACTTCGGCCTGGCCACGGTGTTCCGGCACAACGGGCGGGAGCGGCTCCTGAACAAGATGTGTGGGACACTCCCCTACGTGGCCCCGGAGCTGCTGCGGCGCCCGGAATTCCGAGCGGAGCCCGTGGATGTCTGGGCCTGTGGCGTCGTGCTGACAGCCATGCTGGCTGGAGGTGGGATACAGGGATGGATGGGGTGGAGGGGGGGTGATGTGCTGGCTGGAGGTGGGATACAGGGATGTGTGGAAGGCACAGGGGGTGATGTGCTGGCTGGAGGTGGGATACAGGGATGGATGGAAGGCACAGGGGGTGACGTGGTGCTGGATGGAGATGGGAATACAGGGATGTATGGAATGCACAGGGGGGACATGTGGTGCTGGATGGAGGTATGGATGTATGGAATGTGTGACACAGTGCTGGATGGAGATGGGATGCAGGGATGTATGGGGATGTATAGGGGGGACACGTGGTGCTGGCAGGAGGTGGGATACAGGGATGTATGGGATGTATGGGGGGACACATTGTGCTGGCTGGAGATGGGAATACAGGGATGTATGGAATGCATGACATGGTGCTGGAAGGAGATGGGATGCAGGGATGTATGGGATGTATGGGGGGGACACGTGGTGCTGGATGGAGGTGGGATACAGGGATGTATGGGATATATAGGGGGGACATGTGCTGCCTGGAGATGGGAATACAGGGATGTATGGAATGCACAGGGGGGACACATGGTGCTGGCTGGAGGTATGGATGTATGGAATGCATGACATGGTACTGGATGAAGATGGGATGCATGGATGTATGGGATGTATAGGGGGGACGTGATGCTGGCTGGAGGTGGGAATACAGGGATATATGGAATGCACATGGGGATACATGGTGCTGGCTGGAGGTGGGATACAGGGATGTATGGAATGCATAACACGGTGCTGGATGGAGATGAGGAGGTCCTGGCTGGAGATGGGAATACAGGGATGTATGGAATGCACGGGGGGACACATCATGCTGGCAGGAGGTGGGAATACAGGAATGCCTCTAGGGATGTGTGGAATGCAGGGGAGGGGGCAAAGGGCATTTGGTGGTGCAGGAGATGGAGGGGTTTATATGGAATGCATGAGGGGTGCATGTATGGAATGCAGAGGGGATGGAGGTATGGAATGTGCAGGGGAAGTATATGGAATGAAGAAGGATGCACATATGGAATGCAGAGGGGTGTATGTGTGGAATGCATGAGGATGTGTGTATGGAATGTGTAGGGGGAGCACGTATGGAATGCGTGAGGGGAGGTGTATGAAGGGCACCAAGGGGTGTGTGGGATGGGGAAGGAGCACGTATGACATGGAGGGGATACATGGAATGCACAGGGGTAGGGATGTGTGAAACACAGAGTGGGAAGGTGTGGGATCCATAAGGGAGACGTGAAATGTAGGGAAGGGGATGTATGGAGTGTCTAGGGTGATGTATGGAAGGCAAACAAGGATACAAAAGGGGAATGTATGTGATGTGTAAGGGGGGGTGACACACACAGGGGAGGTATGGGATGCATGGGGAGTACATGGGATGCATAGGGAAGTGTGGGATGCATGGGGAGTACATGGGATGAATAGGAAGGTATGGGATGTATGGGAGGTATGGAATGCATAGGGGTGTAGGGAACATATGGGGGAGGTATGGAACATATGGGTAGTACAAGGGGTGCATAGGGAGTTATGGGATGCATGGGGAGTACATGGCATGCAGAGGAAGGTACAAAATGCATGGGGAGGTATAGAATGCATAGGGAGATATGGAATGTGTGTGGGAGGTTTGGAATGCATGTGGAGTACGTGGGATGCATAGGGAGGTATGGGATGCATTGGGGAGGCATGGAATGCTCAGGGGAGTATGGAATGCATGGGGGAAGTTTGGAATGCATGTGGAGTATATGGAATGCATAGGGAGATATGGGATGCATGGGAAGTACATTGGATGCATAGGGAGGTATGGGAGGTATGGATTGCATAGGGAGATATGGAATGCATGGGGAGGTTTGGAATGCATGCAGAGTACATGGGATGCATAGGGAGGTATGGAATGCATAGGGAGATGTGGAATGCATGGGGAGGTTTGGAATGCATAGGAGGTATGGAACATATGGGTCGTACAAGGGATGCACAGGGAGTTATGGGATGCGTGGGTGGTACATGGGATGCATGGGGAGGTATGGGATGCATGGGGAGGTGTGGGATGCATAGAGGGGTATGGAATGCATGGGGAGCACACAGGATGCACAGGGAGATATGGAGTGCATGGGGGAGGATTGGAATGCATGTGGAGTACATGGGATGCATGGGGGAGGTATGGGATGCATGGGAGAGGATTGGAATGCATGGGGAAGCACGGGATGCATGAGGAGCATGCGGGGTGCATGGGGGGGTTTGGAATGCATGGGGTGCACACAGGATCACAGGCCTGGGGCAGGGACACCTGGCACACACCTGGCACACACCTGGCACACACCTGGCACACACCTGGCACACCGAGTGCTGCAGTGCCACGTGTGTGCCTGGGGCTCGTGGCACCGCGGGGCGACAGCAGCAGGATCCCCCAGCAGAGCTGCCCTGGGACCAGCCCAGCGACAGCTGCCAGGAATACAGCGACTGGAAGGACAGGAAAACCTACCTCCCACCTTGGAAGAAGATCGATTCGGCCCCCTTGGGTAAACACGCGGCAGCACCCAACCCCTGTGTCCATGTATGTGTGTGTGTACACACGTGCACACACCGCGTTGCATTCCACCCCCTCGTCTCCATTCCACCCCCTCGTCCCCATTCCACCCCCTCATCCCCATTCCACCCCCTCATCCCCATTTCCACCCCCTGCTGTCCCCTTCCACCCCCTCGTCCCCATTCCACCCCCTTGTTCTCCATTTTCCACCCCCCTCGTCCCCATTCCACCCTCGTTCCCTCATTCCACCCCCTCGTCCCCGATTCCACCCCCTCGTCCCCATGTCCACCCCCTTGTCTCCATTCCACCCCTCCCGTCTCCATCACCCCCTCTCCCCATTCCACCCCTCGTCCCCATTCCACCCCCTTGTCTCCATTCCACCCCCTTGTCTCCAGTTCCACCCCCTTCGTCTCCATTTCCACCCCTCGTCCCCATTTCCACCCCTTGCCTCCCCCAGCCGCTGCTGCCAACAGATCCTGCACGGAGAAGCCCCTTCGGCGAGGATCACCATTTCCCGACATCCAGAAGGACCGGTGGTACAGCAGACCCCTCAAGAAGGGTAAGGGGCCGCCGGGGAAGGGGCTCGTTCCCCTGGATTTGAGGGTCACTGGGTGTCCTGTCCCTTTGCAGATGTCAAGCGGGCCCGGCTCTCCTCGGGAGGGGTCACCGACTCCCCCGGCGGCTTCTCCAAGCACATCCGATCCAATATGGACTTTTCCCCGGTGAAGGCTGCTCTGGGGTGAGCCTCCACTTCCCTACACACGGGGTTTGCAATTCCTTGTGCCCCACAGGGCTTTCCTGGCATTTTCCCCAGGAGGTGGCTGGGCGGAAACCCCTCACACGACCCCTGCGACCACCCCAAACCCTGCAAAACCCCGTGCAATCCCCACACTGGGCTCTCTCCAGCACCCCTGATCCCCGTGTCCCTGCCCTTGCCTTGCAGCGAGGACAAGGCCAGGTACTCCACGTCGCAGCCGGAGCCCGGCACGGGCGGGATGCCCTGGGAGAGCGGAGCGGGGAGCATCGACCAGCTGGTGCAGGGCATCAGCTTCTCACAGCCCGCCTGCCCCGAGCACATGCTGGTCAACAGCCAACTCCTGGGCACACCCGGCTCCTCCCAGGTCAGGGGCTGCAGGGGGGGCACCTGGAACCGCCTGGAATATCGGGGTGCTGCCTCACGGTGTTTTTGGGATGCAGCTGGGCGAGGTGTATCCTCTCGGGATGTTGCCTCATGTTTGGGGCGCAGCTCCGCACCCTCGGGGGTGGCAGGATGCCCTTTGCAGTGGTTGGGGGCTGCTCTGTGGTGTTTGGGAGCAGCTTTGCCCGATATGGAATATCAGGGAGCAGCCTGGCAATGTTTGGGACACGACTTTGTGGTATTTATCACTTCAGAGTGCGAGTTCACAGGATCTGGGACACAGTTTTCAGTATTTTTAGTACCAGGAAGCCACTTTGCCAGGAATTTGGGGTGTCTGGGGGGCAGCTTCATGTCTGATTTACAACATCAGGGTCCAACACTGCACTGTGTGTAAATTGGGGTGCAACTTTGTATATGTGACATTAGGGAGCAACTGTAATCTCAGGAAGCAACATGGCACTGTTTGGGATGTGGCTGGGCGAGGTTTGTCATCTTGGGGTGCTGCTTCCCAATATTTGAGGTGCAAATGTGCATCATTTATGGTATCAGGATGCACTCTGCAGTGTTTGGGGGCTGCTCTCTGATGTTTGGGAGCAGCTTTGCCTGATATGGAATATCAGGGAGCAGCTTGGCAATATCTGGGATGTGACTTTGTTTTATTTATCACCTCAGGGTGCAAGTTTGCAGGATTTGGGGTGCAGTTTCACATCTGATTTACAACACTGGGGTCCAACCTTGCACCATTTATACCGTTGGGGTGCAACTTTGCCTTAAATTTGTAAGATTAAGAAGCAACTTTGTCATATTTATAATATCAGGGAGCAACTTGGCAATGCTGGGACTGTGGCTGTTCAATATTTACCATCTCAGGGTGCAAGTTGGCAGGATTTGGGGTGCAAATTTGCAATACTTTTAGTACCAGGATGCCACTTTGCCAGGGGCTTGGGGGGCAGCTTCACATCTGATTTACAACACTGGGGTCCAACGTTGCACTGTGGGGTGCAACTTTGCATCCTATATGTTACATGAAAGAGCAACTCCGCTGTATATACAATATCACAGAGCAACTTGGCAGTGTTGGGCAGCAGCTGTGTGAGGTTTGTCATTTTGGGGTGCTGCTTCCCAGTATTTGGGGTGCAAATGTGCATCATTTATGGTATCAGGATGCACTTTGCAGCGTTTGGGGGCTGCTCTGTGGTGTTTGGGGAGCAGCTTTGCATCTGACCTACGGTATCAGGGAGCAGCTTGGCAATACTGGAGTGCAGCTGGGCAAGGTTTGTCATCTCAGGGGACAACTTTGTGGCTTTTGAGGTGCAATTTTGCAGCATTTTGAGTAGCAAAACGCAACTTTGCAACACCAGGGTACAACTGCAGCATTTGGGGGGCAGCTCTGCGTCCAGTTTATGATATTGGGGGTCCATCGTTGCACTGTTTATACTGTTGGGGTGCCACTTTGAATCACGTATGTAACATTACGGAGCATTTTTGCCGTATTTAAGGTATCGGGGACGAACTCTGCACTGTTTGGATGTGGCCGTGCAGCGTTCCCGGTATTTGGGATGCAGCTGCCGGCGCGGGCCATCGGGGGGTGCAGCTTCCCACCCTTTCCCTGCCGAAAGCCGGGATTTTTATCCGAGCTGCGGGGGGTTCCAGCCTCTTGGCGGATTTCTAACGCTCGGCGGCGGTTTTTGTGGTTTTGGGGGCGGCAGAGCCCTGTGGCAGCGCTTGGTGAAGCGGATGACGCGGTTCTTCACCAAGCTGGACGCCGACGGCTCGTACCGGGCGCTGAAGGAGGTGTGTGAGAAGATGAGCTACGGCTGCAAGATGAGCTGCACCAACCAGGTGGGCACCAGGGGGCCGAAATCAGGGGGTGGGACACCCCCCCCCGTGCCGTTGCATCGGCAGGTAACTCGGGGCACCCCTCCCTTTTGCAGGTCACCATCTCGACCACGGACAGGAGGAACAACAAACTCATCTTCAAGGTGAACCTGGTGGAGATGGAGAGCAAGATTTTGGTGGACTTTCGCCTTTCCAAGGTGAGCTGGGGGGGGTCAGGGTGGGCACTCGGTGGTGGGTGCTTGGTGGGGTCGGGCAAGGGTGTGCAGGGTGGGTGCAAGGGGATGAAGGGCCTTGTAAAGTGGGTGCAGGACCTTGCAGGGTGGGTGGAAGACCATGGAAGGTGGGTGTGAGGGGATGGAGAAACATTCAGGGGGTGCAGGATGGGCTCAGGGGGATGGAGTCCCAGGCAGGTGGGTGCAGGGGGATGTAACCCCCCCCAATTCTCCCTGCACAGGGCGATGGCCTGGAGTTCAAGAGGCATTTCCTGAAGATCAAAGCCAAGCTCAGCGACATTGTCAGCACCCAGAAAGTCTGGCTGCCTGGCACCTGAGCCCCTGCACCCCTCCTCCTCCTTTTCCTCCTCTTCCTCCTCCTCCTCCTCCTCCTCCTCTTCTTCCTGGCTGGGCGCCGGCGGCAGCACCCAAATGCCATGAAGGTGCCCAGCCACGTGTTTTAGATTTTGAAGGTTCAATAAAGCCCGGGGGGACACGGAGCGATGCTGTTTCCTGCGAGGGGGAGGTTGTTGCAGTGGGTTGTTCCCTCTGGAACCTGCTGGAGGCGCAGCTTTGCTCAGCCAGCCGAAATCCCACTCCGGGGTCTCCGCCGAGCCGTGCAGCCCTAAACCAGCCCCAAGGTTTAGGGGCCGACCCCCTCCTCGCCCCACTACCGCCCCTCCCTGCCCTGTCTCAGGGCAGTGGCTGCCCTCGTTTTCCAGCCTCTCTAATTGCTTTTCGGAGGGACTAACGAGCCCGAGAGCTGCCAGGGGTTGTTAGCGCTGGAGCGAGAAAGGAGAGCCGGGGATTAACCCCATCCCCTCCCCCCCAAAAAAGAGCATCCCCCCAAAAAAACCCACCCCAGGGTGCAAACCCCTGAGGCATCCCCGCAGTTTCTCCCCCAAAGCTGCGTCGGCGTTTAATTATTGGGGTAAAAAAAAAACCCCACACTTGTTTTGCTTGTCTTCCCCCTTTTCTTTGGGTTTTTTAATATCCCTTCCCCCCGGCTTTTTTGTTTTCCTGGTGGGAACCCCCCTTGGGCGAAGCAATTAGCGGCGATTTTTTAATTGCATATTTATATTGCAGCTGGGGAGCGAGACCCCGGCAGCGGGCAAGGGGGAAGCAGGAAGACGCCGCGCTCCCGACCTTGTTTGCTTTTCAGCCGGGATTAAGCGCTTTTAATTGTCCTGGAGATCACAGATTGCGGCCGGGGGGGATAATTAGGCTGAATACAGGGTTTTCTGGTTCATTCCCCCCAGGAATTTATATTTCTAAGGGCATAAAAAAAAGTAGAAAAGCTTCGGGAACGCCTCGGGTTGTGGAGGGGCACGAGGCTGGGCACAACTCGTTGCACGAGTGGGTCTCGCCGTCACAACAAATTAATTTATCACCTGTTGCCTGCTTGAAACGGGATGTTTTGGGGAGTCACAGGTACGTTTCCCCCTCCCCAGGGTGCTTCAGGGGCTGTCGTGCTCCGCCGTGGTCTCGAGCCTTTGCCGGGCTTCATTATCCCACGGGAGTTTAATTTCAACCCTAATTTTTAGGGTTTTTGTTTTGTTTGTTTTTGTTTGTTCGTTCGTTCGTTTGGGGTTTTTTGTTTTGTGTGTTGTTTTTTTTTTAACTCCGTAGAGGGGATTATTTTCCGCTTTCGGGGTCCGGGAGGGGGGGAAATTGGAGGGGGATGAAAGGTTTGTGCTGCGCTGTGGCCGGGTGAGGGGGGGCTGTGCCGGGAGCGGGGCCCTGAAAGCGCCCTTTGTGCGGCCCCGCCGGGGACCCGGCGCGCTCGGAGGCACCGGAGCGTGGCAAATCCTAAAACCAACAGCACAGCCGGGGCGGGCGGCCGGGGGGCTTCTGCCCCCTCCTCATCCCGAATTCATGGCGCTCCGGCGGGCACGGGGGGTTCCCTCGGCCTCCCCGCGGCATCCCGGGAGCGGGGTTTGGGATGCGCGGTTAGGGATGTGCTGGGGGATGCGGGAGGGGAGGGTTCAGGATCTAGAGCGTAGGGTTTAGGATGTAAGTACAGGATTTGAGGGATGAAGGATTTAGGGTTTAGATAGGGATGTGGGATTCAGGATGGAGATGCAGGATGAGGGATGGAGAACTTGGGATGCAAATGAGAGACACAGGATTTGGGATGGAGATGCAGGATGGAGGATTTGGGATGTAGATGCTGGATGCGGGATTTGGGATGTAGATGCTGGATGGATTTAGGATGTAGATGGAGGATGGAGGATTTAGGATGTAGATGCTGGATGCAGGATTTGGGATGTAGATGCTGGGTGCAGGATGAAGGATTTGGAATGTGGATGCAGGATTTGGGATGTAGATGCAGGATGGATTTAGGATGTAGATGCTGGATGCAGGATTTGGGATGTAGGTGGAGGATGGAGGATTTAGGATGTAGATGCTGGATGTAGGATGGAGGATTTAGGATGTAGATGCTGGGTGCAGGATTTAGGATGTCAATACAGGGTATGTGAACTTAAAATGCAGATATGGGACATAAGATTTAGGATGTAGATGCAGGATAGAGGATTTAGGATGTTGATGGGGGATGCAGGATTTGGGATGTAGATGCAGGATTTCAGATGTTGATGCAGGATGGGTGAAGTTGGGATGCAGATACGGGACATAGGATTTAGATGCAGGATGGAGCATTTAGGATGCAGATGGGGACATAAGATTTGAGATATAGATAAAGGATGGAGGATTTAGGATGCAGATGTGGGATGTAGGATTTAGGACAGATGCAGAGTGGGGGATGAAGGATTTAGGATCTAGATGGAGATGTAGGATTTAGGATGTAGATGCAGGATGTGGGACAAAGAACTTGGGATGCAAGTGTGGGAATCCGAATAGGATTTGGGATGTAGATGCAGGATTTAGGGTGCAGGACTAAGGATGCAGATGTGGGATGTAGGATGTAGAATGGAGGATTCACAACGTAGATGCAGATGCAGGATGGAGAGCTTAGGGTGCAGATGTGGGAGACAGGACTGGGAATGTAAATGCAGGATGCAGAATAGAGGATTTGGGATGCAGGTGGGGGACTTAGGGTTTAGGATGTCGATGCAGGACACAGAATGGAGAATCCAGGATGCACATATAGGATGGAGCATTTGGGATTTAAATGGGGATGTAGGATTTAGGATGCAGATGTAGGACATAGGATTTAGGACATAGAGGACAGAGGGGAGAGAGGATTTAGGATGTAGATGCAGGACACAGGGTGAAGGATTCAGGATGCAAATGTGAGACACAGAATTTGGGATGCAGCTGCAGGGTGCCAGATGCAGGACATGACAGAGGAGCTGCAGAAGAAGGATTTAGGCTGCAGATGCATTTAGGATGTGGGATGCAGGATTCAGGATGCAGACACGGGATTTAGGGGGGAAAAAATAGAGCATTTAGGAAGCAGATAGAGGATTTAGGATGCAGACACAGGTTCCCAGATGCAGGATGGAGGATTTAGGATGCAGACACAGGTTCCCAGATGCAGGATGGAGGATTTAGGATGTAGATGCAGGTTTCCAGACGCAGGATGCGTGACAGGGATGCAGGATGCAGGAGAGGATGCAAATGTGGGATGCAAAACACAGGCCATGGGATGAAAGGGCAGATGCAGGATTTGGGATGCAGATACAGACCATGGGGTACAGGAGCAGAATTTAGGATGCAGAGGTGGGGATACAGGACAGATGAGGAGGGAAAGGGAATTTAAGATGCAGAGGAAAGATGCCAGGCACGGGGCATGGGTTGCAGAAGTGGGATTTGGGATGCAGAGGAGGGATGTAAGACACAGGAGGTGGGATGTGGATGCAGGACGTGGAATGCAGCAGTGGGATTCAGGGTGCAGATGCAGATACGGGATGGAGGTGCAGGACAGGGAATGCTCCACCCCCAGAGCACCGCGGCGCAGCGCCAGCTGTGCACAGGGATCTTGCGGCACCCCCGGCGATGGGGAGTGCGTGCAACGAGCCGGGAAATGCAGATTTCTAAGGGAAAATTATCGCTTTCCAGTCCTATACAGGGATTTCGCAGCTCGTCGCCCATCTGGGAGGCAGAGCCCGGTCGTGTGGCCACATCTTCCGCCAGATGTGCCGGAGGGGAACGGAGCCCCGCATGGGAAACCTCCCCGCCCCCCCCCGCCGCGCGGGCCAGGTGTTGGGAGTGCTGCTCTCCCAAATCACACCTGCTCTGGAAAAACGCCTGGATGGGAGCGGGGAGGAGCGGGAAGGAGGGATGGGATGGGACCAACCCGGCCTCGCAAATGATTTTCGTGTCAGATAAGCTTTTGTGCTGTGGCTGGGGGAGCGTGGGGATGAGGCACAGCCGGGGTGCAGCTCCAGGGGGCACAGCCCAGTATAGCCCAGTAAGGACCCTGGGCCCTGGGTCACAAGGGCCTGGGAGGGGTGGGGGTCCCTGATGAGGCTGGTTCAGACCATCAAGGGTGCCCTTGGTCCCTGCAGCATGACAGGATGTGGATGTGGGATCAGGAGGTGGGACGTGTGGGAAGATGTGGGATGGAGATGTGGGATGCAGGAGGTTGGATGGAGATGTGGGATGCAGGAGGTTGGATGGAGATGTGGGATGCAGGAGGTGGGATGGAGATGTGGGATGCAGGAGGTGGGATGGAGATGTGAGATGCAGGAGGTGGGATGGAGATGCAGGATGCAGGATCTGGGAAGGGGATGCAGGATGCAAATGCAGAGTTTGGGTTGCAGGCTCGGGACATGGGATGGTGCAAGGTGCAGGTTTAGGAGGGGGAGGCAGGGTGTGGGTGGAGATGGAGGACATGGGATGAAGGGTGTGGATGCAGGACATGATGCAGATGCAGGATTTTGGATGCAGATGTGGCATGCAAGAATCGGGATGCACATGCAGGATGCAAGTAGTGGGATGCACAGGCCAGGACGTGAGATGAAGGGTGCAGATACAGGACAGGGGGTGCAGGGCTCAGGGTGCAGGTGAAGGATTTGGGATGCAGGATGAAGCTGCAGGATGCAGATCCATGGGATGGGCATGGGATATAGGTGTAGGATGCAGATGTGAGATGCAAAAGTAGGATGCACTGGAGGGTGCAGACTGGGGATGTGAGAAGTGGAGTGAAGAATCCAGTGCACATGTGGGATGAGTGGGGTGCCAGACACGGATGTGGGGTGCAGGATGCAGATGTTGGATGCAGGATGCAAATGGGGGGTGCAGGAGGCAGATGTGGGATGCAGGATGGAGATGTGGGGTGCCAATGCATCTCCAGGATGGTGATCCACCACTTTGAGCAGAGAAAAATGTCAGAAGCATTTCCCATCTGTTTTTAGGGGCAAATTTGGAATTTTCC